TTTATTTGGTCTGTTTATCGAAATAGTCATTTTATATTGAAACTGGTGGCATTACAATAATAAAAGTTACTTTCACTTATCTTGCTGTGGTAATGGAAGTTTTCATCTTATGCTTTGCAGGGGAATATCTGAATTTCAAGGTTAGTAAGCATTTGGAAATTATCTGCAAGTATGACATATTTAATTTAATATGATTATATATATAGGATGAGGCATTTAATACAGCTCACCTGAATAACTCGCTTGTTTTTAACAATAGAAGGAAAAGTGCCGAACAAAAATTACATTTGCTTTAAAAAAAATATCCATTTTTTTGCATACATATTTTTTTTAAAGCCATTATGTGTTTTCTTTCCACCAATTCATACATCTCATTATTCCGTTCATAAAAGTATTAACGTACGATTATCTAAAGTTAATAGTTTACGAGTTATTTAATATTTTATGTCAATATGTGCCACAATAAAATATAAAATATCTCGTTAACTTGGTTTCTTGATATCGCTACCTTAACACTTTTATATGAAGAATAATTAGAGGAATCATATTGTGTAAAAAAAATCATACAATTCCGTTTAAAAAAAATGGAGGTGACTTTTATTTTTCTTTAGCGCCACCACCTAGAAGAAAAACAACATGACCAAAATACGTCCCCCTTGAAACTATGCAACTTTTATTTGACACTTTTCCATCTATTGTTAAAAACAAGTGAGTTATTCAGGGGACCTGTTTTAAATGCCTCATTCTATATATACATATGCAGGGTTTCTCGTAAGTTTTTGCCAATCGCTTTTGTGTAAATAGAGCGGACTAAAGTGAGTCGAAAAGTCCTCTACCATTTTACAATTTTCGCAATAGTTAACAAGATATTAATTACTAAAAATTGCCAAATATTGATTTTCAATAATTGTTTATTCAGATAGTATCAACTTCACAGAAAAACTGCAAGAGACAAAAATTATTTATTTTCTTCTCATAGGACTCTAAAAATTTTTTCAGAATTGTTTATCAATTTTTTAGTACTGCATTTTCTTATTCTTACTGACATGAGAAAACACGGTATTAAAAAGTATTGAAAAATTCTGAAAAAATTCATAAAATTTTTATGAGAAAAAATAGATAATTTTTGTCTCTTGCTATTTTTCTATAAAGTTGATGGTATTTGAGTAAAAAATTATTGAAAACCAATATATTCAGCGATTTTTAGTAATTAATATCTCATTAACCATTGCGAAAATTGCAAAATGGTAGAGAACTTCTCGACTCAATTTAGTTTTCTCTAACTACACAAAAGCTATTGGCAAAAATTTATGGAACACCCTGTATATAGATGAAATATTTATTATAAATATAAATAAAGGCATCGGTAATATATACTAGGAGCGTATCTTAATTTAAATTTAATTTAAATTTTAATTTAAATTTTAATTTAAATTATGCCCTTAAATTACGAGGCAAGCGTCGAGTGCCTTTGCGTATCGCGTCGTGTTCTAGAATGTATCATATATGTATTTTCTTGAAAAAATTGAACTTATTAGCACGAAATCCTATAAAAGCGGCAGACATTTGAACAAAGAAGTTCATGCCCCACACAGCTCGTAATATTGTAACAATATTTCAAAATTGCTGTAATATTACATGCTAATATATCAATATATATATAATTCAAATGTTTTTTACTTATCAATTTACAATAATAAAAAAATTAAGGAAACTGACGTTTATATAAAGGAGACTTTTGCACAATATTTGTTTCAATGAGGAAGAATTATTAACAATATTATTAGTTATTCTTTATATTATTATTTTCAGAGTAAATCAATCGCCAATGCAGCATATGAATCACTATGGTACAATTTACTGTCAAATCAAAAGAAAACTATAACGTTCATAATAATGAGATCTCAAAAACAAGTCATGATCACGGCAGGGAGAATCACGAATTTGTCATTGGAAACTTTCACGAGCGTAAGTTTATAGAATATATTTTTGTGATAGTTAAAAATGAAATTTTTTGCATTTTTTAAAAAAATACACATTTCTAAATTAATTAAAAAAATTTTTTTAGATCTTAAAGGCGTCAGTATCATACGTATCTGTTTTACATGCGATGTATTGATGTTAACAAATAGTGATTGAGTAGAAATCGCGATATTATTATTATTATTAATACAATATGTTAATATACAGAGTTATATTATTAAATTGCTTTCGATAAATTAGTAGTGTTAAGTATTTATGCTGTTTTAAAATTTATAGATCTATAAGTTGTTCAATCTGGAACATTTTTGATGGTTTGAGATTTATAGATTTGTTGATTGTACAATCTAAAATTATATTTAATTTAAATCTAAATATTCATATCTGTTTTTTCCTTATATTTAGTCTTATATGTTAAAATATTTTCTTACTCAGAAAAAAGAAAAAGGGAAATAGAACGAAAGGAATGTATCTTTTCATTTCATCGATTGAATTCAATATCAAGATTTTATTTTAGATCTAAGCATATGTGATTTATGTCAGCACATCCGCGCGTTTGTGTTTGTATATTAATTTTACTTCTGTAATACGTGTAGCTGATTCTAATATTTTGAATTTCCTTTTCACATGTGTTTTGAGAATATTCTTGAAAATCTAGTTTATGTTTTATAAATAAATAACATGTTTATAAAACATTTGATTTTTCATTGAAATTATCTCGATTTTTTTATGATGTTTCAATTTTTTTATTTCTCTATTAATGAGATATAATTCAAAATTAAATATACAAATTTCATTCTCTTTTAGACATTTTTACACAAAGTGTATCATTGTATAAAAATTTTCATCAAAATGAATAACTGGGATAAATAGAATTATAAAAAGTTTTATTTTAATAGCAATTAAAAAGTTTTACATGTACATATATATTATATATACACTTATTCAGTGTGTCCAAGAATAACGTGAATAAGTAGAACAAAATTGAGTTGTTATCTATTATTTTGTAATTTTCATAATAGTTAACGGGATATTAATTCTTAAATATCGCCGAATAAGTGCCTATCCGCCCAGCACGGAGAGATATTTTCTTTCGTCGTTCATAATAGCGTTGCTAATAGGCGTATTCAACAAACTTAACAATTGAATGAGAATACGCTACTAGGATAAAAGACCATATTACTGGCACATATTAAGCGTCATATTTGATTTAGTATATTTATACAATTAATGATAATTTAAGTATTAAAAAAATTTTTTTTTAATTATTTCAATTATGAACTTTACAAATAAAATAAAAGTTTACTACTATTTTTTTAAGATGACTATGCACAGTAAATAATACTGTCAGCATTAACAAATATTGACAATATAACTGATCGTACGTTAATATTGATGGATTGACGTAGAATACTGACGGTGATCTGGATTTTGATTTTCGAGCATCAATGTCGCTTTATTAGGATTAATGTCACAGTATGTCACAGTGCAATAAATAATGTTCGTAAAACTGAAGCAAAATATATTGTCAATAATACTGTCTCGTAATTATCAAAGAATTAATATTTGAATATAATAGTTAAGATTTAAATTATCTGACATTAAAGATATTGAATCATATATGGAAATTCTGTTTATCCGTTAACTTGTTTGTCATCGTTATAATTCGGTTAGGACAAACAGTCACCGGACGCGAAACTCTAAACTGTTGGTCTTGTAATCACCTTTTAAATAAAGACGGTTGTATAAGACAAGTCGACTGCAATTTATTTCCATAACGAGAGAGGTCTTATCTCAGGTGCGTCGGCACCCTGTGGAATTCCCGGCACTACACGCATCATTATTAAACAAATACTGATGTGGTGTAAGATTATAAAAATACTAAAAATATTGATGCATATTATCAGTATTACTGATTCAATATTACTGATTAGTTTTATTAACCGTATAAGGTCACTTTTAGATCATAAACGCATCAATATCATATAAACAGTCATGAATGTTTCATTCGAACAAAATTACGATGGATATCTGTTAAAATAAAAACGAAATTAATATAAGTCAATGGATAGAAAGTATTGCTAATAAATTCAGAATTAAATTGGTATTAACAATTATTACCTGTTATTCATTAGTTATTTGTGAATAAATTACTTAAATTAAAAGTTATATTTAATATAAAATAATTAATATAAAAGTTGTAAATAATTTTATTTATGTATATTGTTATTACTATATTACATTATACATTTATATATAAAAGGTTTTTTGGGGAGACCATCGGAGTTTTCGGACGTTAATCCTTTATTAAAAAATTATATATTTCTTCTATGTATAATAAGCATATGACGTTGGATGTAGGCATATTTTAAACTAAATATTTACAACATTTCCAATTGAATAATTTTCAATTTTGAAATATCTTTTATAAGCAAGAATGCATAATAACATTCCTGGAAGCACTAAGGAATATTACTCGTCATTTTGCTTATGTTCTGTCGCGTTCTTCCCATTATTTCTTTGAAGACCAGAAGTCGAATTACACGACTATAATTCAGTTCTGTTCGCTTAGAATACCTAATGTATAATTAACGTACGTTGTTCTGCTGTACATTTATCTATTTTTACAATATACATGTGAACTGTAGTGAACGTTTTTTTTCTTTTCTATGGAAATCCGTTGCCAAGAGATAAATTCGCAAGAAAAAAGAACTGACAATTACGCATCGAGTTTGTTTATCAATAGTTCGACTTAGATGTCTTTATTATTTTACGAGTAATTTATGTTGTTAGACTATCAACAGAAAATTACATGTTCATAAAAAATTAGCTTTATCACCATTTGCTGTTACACTATACAATACATGATGATTGATCCATATTTACGTAGAAATGCATTGAGTAGGGATATACTTGGAGAAATGAACAATAAACCGTCTCACATTTACTTCTTATCTAGAGAATGGAACGAAGTGCAAACACTGATCTTTATTTTCTTACATATTAAAAACTATTGGCAAATGATAATCAGAAGCACTGTCAGCCCAATACTGAAAATTGGTTTCCAATTATTCGGCATTTGGCCGGGTGTCTCGTATTCTACCATTCGTAGTATGAGTATTATATCAAGCATACTGATCATACAGTACTTTCAGTATTTATACATTTTTAATCACTTCAAGATCAGCGAGATCTCGAATCTCAATGACAGTTTGAATTTAACTTTTACATACGGTTTGACGGTATTCAAATTGATTTATCTGTGGATACGTCGCCAGTAAGATATTTTACTACACTATGTAATTCAACTTTGTTCAACTTTGTCTAATTCCTTGTTCAAAAAACAAATTTTTTTCTCAGTTTCATAACATATCGTTGATTTGGTTTTCCGTAAGCGAAAGTGACTTAATTAATATCATCATCTAAACTTTAGCTTGAGTGTTAAACACAACATTGATGGTCCCTCGAAAAAAAGTACAATTATTCTATTTGAAATATTTAATAGATTAAAATAATTGCAGAGTTTTTCGTCAAATCCTGGTTGCTATGGATAATGATTGGCGCGAGTGCATTAATATGGATAAACATTTGTATATAATGACAATTAAAGCCAATTTAGCACATTTTATTTCCAACAGTATATTGAGTGTTAGTACGATTATTGCGATACCTTTTTTCTTAGGCGAGTATGTAATTCATTCCATATTTTCAACTGAAGATCAAAATATCACTTTACGGCCGCTTCCTATGAAGATACAACTTCCATTTGATACTCAACAATCACCAATGTTTGAGATTGTTTTCACAATATTATTTTTACATAGTATAATAATATTTGTCTATATGGTTTCTATTGTAAATGGATTGATTCCTACATTGGTAACTATTATATTTTATATGTATATATTCATTTTTCATTAATTTTTATGTGATAAGGAAATTTATGATGCAGAATTAAAACTTATTTGTAGCTACAGTGAACCGGTCGTAATAATATTTTACGTTGTAATTTCTAGAACTTTGTTATATAAAGTAAATGCACTAGTTACTGAACAATTAATGAACATAATTCAATTATTAGACAAAATGACAAAATTTTCAATATTAAGTTTTCAATTATATGGACAACTCCAAATTCGTTGTTTATAAAAATTTGATAATAAATTGATCAATTTAAAGTCACATATAAGTCACATTAAAAGCTTAATATTTAAAATGTTTACCATTTCGTTCAATAATTGGATTATGTTCACCGTGTAAAAGTAAACTATTGAAAATATATCACTAATATAAACAGTAAAATAGGATTTCATTAATAATCAAGGAGTATTTTACTGATCTTCAGTAAAATATAAATACTCACGCTTTTTTTCTCAATCTTATATCTCACTATAGTCAGTGTGAAAATGAAATTTTATTATAAAATCAGCAATTTATTGGTCACAAGGAATAGACACGTCCATAAAAGTCATGCGTTATTATTTATGGTTGTTTATTCAACGGACCGTAAATGTATGTACTGTCTTCTGTTTGAATTCATTATACATTCGCTATTTATTAAGTGCCTCTTGTGAAAATTAAGTATTTTGCGTATTTTGTGACGATTTAGTTCAGTGCCCACATATATTCAGCAAACATCAACCAACAGTATTGTAACCTTACGATTATAATTTTTATTTCAATAATGTAATTGTTAACTGTAACACGTGTTTTATATGTTGTATATATTATATTAAATTGTTGAGTAAAAAATTATAATAGTAAGATTATTATTGCTAGTTGGTTAATTGTGATAACTGAAAATATATTATTAGGCTCGCGAAAAAACCATTGGAAATAATTGAAAAATTATTTAAATCAAATATTGTTGATACATTATTTATATTGTACATTATTAATAATTCATATTCTTTATTTTATTATTTTGTAATTTAAAGTCACTGTTTCTAGTTATCTAATATTATTGACTGAAATAGTTAATATTACTAATTAACGCTTTCAGAGTAAAATTTTACTAGTTTACAGTGCTATACTTATAATTGCTATAATCACAGAGATTATTTACTGTTTTTTTAATAATATATTGTACTGATTTACTTTTAGAGAAAACTAGTACATTTACCTTAAGAATTGTTATTTTCCTAATTTAAAAATGTAATTGATGCACGCGTCCGAAAAAAAGTTCTACAAATAATTTTCGAGAAGAATTTCTTCAAGTGTGTAAATACATTACGTAAAAAATATTTCTTGTATTCAAAACATGTTCACATTGTTCTATAGCACGAAAATCTCTTTCATATGAAATAATTATGACTTTTGCAAAAATTTAAGTATATTTTAGGTACTACATGTTAGTGGACAAATTGATATAATGTGTCATGAGTTTAAAAATATTTCTAAAAGTATTTCTCTTCATAAATCTACCGTATCTTTATTTAGAATGTTGATCGAGAGACATAATAGAATTATATCATTTTCTAAAAGCATTGAAAATCTTATCTCATTTATTGCGTTGATGCAAGTTGTTTTGGATACGTTAATTATCTGCGGTCTAGGATTTTTCGCCATAATTGTAAGTTCTGCAATACATATGTGCATTGATTGATATCATATATATCATTCTTTTTCGTATTCATCGAATTAGAGTATTCATAACGAAATGGGTGCTTTTGTGGTAACGAAAACCATTTTTGCTGTTGCTCTCATATTGTCTGAGGTTTTCGTCATTTGCTTAACTGGAGAACATCTTAATTACAAAGTAAGTATTTATGTAAGAAGTTGTAGATCACATATATACAATTGTTTAATTTTATATAATTATAGTGCCATGATGAAATACATGGCATCTTTTCTTTGCAATAATATTTTAATATATTGTAATGTACAATACAAATATTATTTAAAACAAATCTTATTTAAAATAAATATGTTTTTAATAAATAACATTATTACTTCAGAAATATATTATAACGTCTTTTAAATATAATATCGATATCTCTGTTAGTCTCTGCTAGAATAAAAAATCGCTGTAATCTTAATATATTGTTTTACATTTTATTGTGTGATTTCTTATATTCGAAAGGTAGAAGTAGACAAATCAAATATTTTTAATATTATGCTTGTTTATTCTTTCTATATGTCATAATTTTTCTGTTGTTCTTTTTTTTTTATTTTTTAATCTTTATAGAACTTTTCTGATATTAGCAATTAAAAAAAACTTGGGAGGGCTCCGTTTGTCTACAAAACGATTGCCTACGACTTCGTTTGCACATGACAATATTACACACAGCAATACGTTGTGTGCAATATTGTCGTGTGTGTAATGCGCTGTGTGTAATATTGTCGTGTATGCAATGTGCTGTGTACAATATTGTCGTGTGTGCAATACGCTGTGCGCAATATTGCTGTGTGCAAACGAAGCTATAGGCAATCGTTTTTGTAGGCAAACGGGATCCTCTCCAAAAAACTTTATCTGTTAAATAAGTAGTATAAATATATATCACTAGCAAGAAGCCATTGCTTTTGTCTATTTTTGCTTTTAGAGTAAATCAATTGTCAATGCAGCATACGAATTGCCGTGGTATGATTTACCGTCACATCAGAGTAAAATGTTAATGCTAATAATAATAAGATCTCAGAAACAACTGACCATATCGGCAGGAAAAATAATGGATATGTCATTCGAAACTTATACAAACGTAATTTTAAAAATTTTTGGACATTTAATTTTTAGAAAATTATTTTAATTTGCTTATATATATATATATATTTTATGAACCTGCTATTTATATTTTTATGCATAAATATAATTTGTAGATCAAACATGATCTTCTTATTTCTACTCTTTTAGGTCATAAAAACATCAGTATCATATATATCTGTCATGAATGCTTTATATTGACCCAAATAAAATTACGGTAGACATTTGTTGAAATAGTAATAAAATTAGTGTAAGTCAATAAGTAAAAAATGTTACTTAATTTAGAATTAGATTATATTGAAAAATCAATAGAATAATAGTTAAAAAGTCAAGCTAAATGTTTTTTGCTCAAATGAATAATTTAATATCTAAACATATAAATGACAAACGTTTCACTCTGACTTAAACGTCTCACTTTAATGAAAATTCTCAGTGTTACGATTGAAAGTTTGAATATGCTATTGAATATATGTAACCGAAGAAAATAAAAGAATTATAAAAATCATAATTTTTTAGAATTCTCTTTTATTCTTTGACTATCAATCACATGCGTGTTGGCTACATGTGATCAATATCATTAAAATTTTTAATCGTAACACTGACAATGGGGATGACATTTCATTGACAATTCAAAACGTTTGTTATTGTTTATACATGTTTAGATATTAATTTATTCATTTCAGCAAAAATTATCTAATTTGGCTCTTTGCTCCTGTTCTGTTAACTTTTGAATTTTACTTTTATTAAGCCTTTTTATATATTTATATTAATTTTAAATTATTTAGAATTATATATATATAAATTCTTATTAACAGATAATATCTGTTATTTATTAGTTACCAGTAAATAAATTACTTAAATGAAAAATTGTTTTTAATGTAAAAAACTGATATAAAAGTGAATAATTTTTGTTAACTTAATATTATTATATTATACTGTATATTTTTACTCACTAGACAACACACCCGTGCTACGCGCGCGTGCTATTTAACTTTTAATATTATAATATTTCTACTCTTTTAGGTCATAAAAACATCAGTATCATATATATCTGTCATGAATGCTTTATATTGACCCAAATAAAATTACGGTAGACATTTGTTGAAATAGTAATAAAATTAGTGTAAGTCAATAAGTAAAAAATGTTACTTAATTTAGAATTAGATTATATTGAAAAATCAATAGAATAATAGTTAAAAAGTCAAGCTAAATGTTTTTTGCTCAAATGAATAATTTAATATCTAAACATATAAATGACAAACGTTTCACTCTGACTTAAACGTCTCACTTTAATGAAAATTCTCAGTGTTACGATTGAAAGTTTGAATGTGCTATTGAATATATGTAACCGAAGAAAATAAAAGAATTATAAAAATCATAATTTTTTAGAATTCTCTTTTATTCTTTGACTATCAATCACATGCGTGTTGGCTACATGTGATCAATATCATTAAAATTTTTAATCGTAACACTGACAATGGGGATGACATTTCATTGACAATTCAAAACGTTTGTTATTGTTTATACATGTTTAGATATTAATTTATTCATTTCAGCAAAAATTATCTAATTTGGCTCTTTGCTCCTGTTCTGTTAACTTTTGAATTTTACTTTTATTAAGCCTTTTTATATATTTATATTAATTTTAAATTATTTAGAATTATATATATATAAATTCTTATTAACAGATAATATCTGTTATTTATTAGTTACCAGTAAATAAATTACTTAAATGAAAAATTGTTTTTAATGTAAAAAACTGATATAAAAGTGAATAATTTTTGTTAACTTAATATTATTATATTATACTGTATATTTTTACTCACTAGACAACACACCCGTGCTACGCGCGCGTGCTATTTAACTTTTAATATTATATATTTATACACTTATAATAATCTAATTTTTATGAGTTGTCAAAACATCATGTGTTGAGTTATTTTCGCAATACAAAGCGAAAAAATCAATCAGAATCACGGAAAAAAGGCAACAATGTATTTGACTATCGATTTTTAGCACTTAAATTTTATTGCAGGGAAAAGGATATTTCTGCGGAGAATGTGATGATTTTGGATATTGATCCTTTATTAACGAGTTGCATTCAGTATGTATAGACGTATTCTGTTGGATACAAGCATATTTGAAACTAAATGTTTATGACTTGAACTGAACAATTTTTTTTAATTTAAAAATATCTTTCTTAGGTGAGGATGCATAATATCATTCTTAGAAGCAGTAAGGGATATTCGTCATTTCGTCCCTATTTTGTTGTTTTGTCCTCACATTATTTCTTTGAAAACTGCACGAATATAATTCAGTTCCATTTGCATAGAATACATAACATGTAATTGTCATTCTGCTATAAATTTAATGACTTTTGCTGTATATGTACAGAACATAATAGACATTTATTTATTTTTCGAAGAAGTGTTGCTAAGAGACAAGTTCGTAAAAAAATGGAACTAACAATTACGCATCGAATTATAAATTTAGCGGATAAGTCCGATATCTTTGTTATTTTATGGATATTAGAATATTAGCGTTCTTAGACTATTAATAGAAAATTATAGGATGTCCATAAAAAAATGAACTTTATCTCGATTTATGTTATACACTATATATAATGACGATTGATCCATACTTACGAGGGTGGGGATAGACTGTATGGGGTTGCATTTAAAAAAACCGTCAGTATTCTTTCAGTTCTTTCTTAAACCGGAGTGCCAGATAAATGTGCCGATACTGATCTTCATTTCCTCGTGTTCTTCGTACTGATTACGAACGAGTACTGTGAGTCTGTTACTGAAGACCGGCCTTCAACTGTTTGGTGTGTGGCCGGGTGTATCGTATTGCATATTGGCTAATTTATATATTTAGCATGCTGATTGTACTGTACTTCCAACATCAATATGTATTCGAACACTTCAAGACCAGCGAACTTTCGAATCTCGTTGATAGCTTATCCGTGGCTTCAAATTACAGCTTAACAATTTTTAAAATAATCAGTCTTTGGATACGTTGATAAGACATTGTTCTAAACTTCAGCTTTATCTAATCTCGTCTTATTTGAGATATAAAAAGTATTAAGTACTAGTATCAGTTTTTTATTATATTTATAATCGCGGTTAGATCTTCTATAAACAAAACGTGTCTTAAATCTATCTAATTTTAAACTTTAATTTGAGTAATACGGTCTCGTATGATAGACGATACTAACGATTTATAGAGCCTTGCATAGGTGATACCATCTCTGTCAAGATATCTATCAATTAGAATAACACATTACAGAGTCATTCATCAACTTCTAACTGCTATGGATAATGATTGGCGAAATTGCATCTATATTGATCAACATTTGTATGTAATGACAATTAAAATTAATTTATCGCATTTTTGTTCTAATATTATGTTTAGCATTAATATAATTGCTGCGGTGTTGTATTTTTTGAGTCACGTTACGCAATTCGTTTTGTACATTTGTCCGGAAATTACAATGATACTTTGCGGCAGTTTCCCATTAAGGTACAATTTCTCTTTGAAACTCGACATTCACTAATTTTTGAGCTGCTGGTCATAATTCTATTTCTACAATCGATGTTAAACGCGTGGTCGCTCATTATTCTAAACGCATTAATTTCTACTCTAGCAAGTCACCTTATAAATATTATTTTTATTTAAATAAATGTTGTTTAACGGCAGTATGTGACATCAGTATGTGCAGGTGCGGTTCGCATCATATTATGTTGTGGAATGTGTGCTTTCTTGAAAAAATTGGTAACATTATTAGTGCGACATTCGGTAGAAGCAGCAGATATGAGCGAAGAAGAAATTCAAATGTGGAACAATACGTAATAATTGAATTTCTTATCAAAGAAGAAACAAATCTTCGGAAATATGTACAAGGATAAAAGCACATAACGAGGGAATGTTTAGACAGGAGCATTTATATAGTATTTATATGGAATAAGACTTTCGAAGAAGATCGACAATGTTCAGAATAAACCGCATCCTTGGCACCTAAGAACACCGACAACGGTAGAGAATGCTAACCAAATTGATAAGCTTGTTTATGCTGATCAACACATTACAGTGTGAGATATTGCTTTCATTTTGAAATGCATATCTCAAGGGTTTCACTCTTTTTTTTCTAATAAGAAATTTAACAATTATGCATTGTCTCACATTAGATGATCTTTGCTTATGTCTGTATCTCTTACCGAACTTTGCGTCAGTTAGTCTACCATTGCAAATTTTCTCAAGAAAGTACACATTACGAAACTTTACTCGGGCTCCTATTCTTGAAAAGAAACATATACGAAAAATTAGAGAAATACTATAGTATACGTTACATATAGTATAATATTTTCCTAGCTTTTCGTATACGTTTCTTTTCAAAAATAGAGACCCTGATGCAGGTCACACTCGCGCATGCCTCGATGATCACTTGGGCGTGTAATTAAAATAAAAATTTAAATTTGGGCGCCTCTCCTAATAATAATAATGATAAGTATTTTAAATGTAAAATAAGTCAAATGTTATTTTAAGCTCAATACTATGCAAATAAACTAGTTATTTATTTCGGGTATATGATTTCTTTTATTTTATAAACAAAAGTATTGTAAATAGTTTATTATATTAATATTTTTAATTATGTTCTAAAGATTTTATACTGCTACTCCATAGCTCTCTTCACAACTTTTATATTTTATAATAAACAATATACATCTTTTTTACCCTTCAACTTTTTCAACTTTTGTTACTGATGAACTTATAATAGTAAGAAAACTTTGATACTTTTATACAAAGACTTTTATACAAATTATATTTGATATTCAGTAAGGAAAAACTATAAATAACGTTATTTGTTATATTTCTTGTGTCTTTTGCATTATTTCAGAGCAAATCAATCGCCGACGCAGCATATGAATCATAGTGGTATGATTTACAGTCAAATCAGAAGAAAATTATAAATTATAAGATTATAATATGGAGATCTCAAAAAACGACTTATGGTTACAGCAGGGAGAATTACAAATTTATTTTTGGAAACTTTCACGAATGTAAGCTTTTGGAATAATTTTATTTCTAGTTAAATAAACCTTTTTGACATTCACAAAAAGTACAAGTATGTAAAATAATTTTTAAAATCTTCTTTAGATCTTTTTTTTAAAACTATCAGCACCATACGTACCTATTTTACACGCTATGTATTGATATTCATCACAAACAGCGATTTGTTAAAATCTCAGTGTTATTTACTATTATTAATGTAAAATGTTAATACGTAAAGAATTGTTATTATTAAACTACTTTTGATAAAATGATAGAGATTAAATTTTTATTTTGCTTATAAATGCACAATATAGAATTGTATCAAAATTGATTTAATCTCAATCTTCATGTCTATCTTTTCCTCCACTTTAATTTTGTATTTTAAAATATTTTCTTAGACTTAGAAAGAAGAGAAAGAGAAATAGAGAAAAAGCGCAATTTAGCTTTGCATGGAACGTAACAATTATCAAGACTTTATTCTATCTAGATTTAAACATGTGCAGTTTATGTCAGTACATCTATTTTTTTATGTTTGTATAACCGAACTTTTATAAGACGTTCAGTTGATTTCAGTTCTTTGAATTTTCTTTGTACATGTGCTCTGAGAAAATTCAATATTTACGTTATTAGAGGAAATTATTTTTCATTATATTGTGAGAGTTTACATCAGAGGGATATAAGATGTTTTTTTCGTTCTTGTCATCATAAAAGTTCACGATCGATGCACGAATACAATTCATTTCCGTCATTGAGAATACCTAAGCCGTAATTATAAACTTTCAAACTGTCCTACGTTCAACAATTATTACGATATCTGAAAAATGGCGTACATCCGTTTTTTTTGTCCACAACATGGCATTATTAGTAGGAAGAAATGGTTCAATGCACAATTTTTTGTTACTTCATGATAAAGGTACATATTAAATTGTACAAGGAATATAGAATGACCGTACAAGATAATGCTACGAATTATTCTTCCTCAAATTGTTGTTATATTTATACGATGTATAACTGCGATTGATGATTGGTCCGTATTCACATGAGTGGGGACATACCGCGTGCGCGTGGGGATGCACTTGGAAAAATTGTTACTGTCCTGTCAGTTCTTTCCTAGTCACAGCAGACAAATGTGTTAATCTTCATCTTCGCGTTTCTAAATTATCAACGAATGGTAGCCAAGAGTACCGTTAGTCCGGCGCTGAAATTCAGCCTTCGGCTGCTTGGTGTATGGCCGGAAGTGTCGTATTCCATTTTTTATTGGCTGATTTTTATGTCAAGTATATTGATTATACAGTATTTTCAATATCTGTACATACTTGAGCACTTCAAGATCAGCGAGTTCCCAAATCTTATCGATGGCTTGTCTTTAACTTTAGATTACAGTTTGACGTTTGTCAAATTGGCTAGCCTATGGATACATCGTCGGTAAGACAACGCGTCGCGTATGTAATATTAAATTTTATATCAAATCGCCGATATTATAGATCGCGAAAAACTAGATTTTTTAGTTTTATGCACTGAAAAAAAAGATTGATTGCTGCTGCAAATTAGATGATAAAATATGGCATAGCATTTTTAATTGGCTGCAGCCCATTTTTGGTTGCGTTAGCCTATCCACAATATCAGTATAGGATTTCGATAGGCTAACACAACCAAAAATTGGCTGCTGCAACCAATTAAAAATGCTATGTCATATATTTTACCATCTAATTTGCTGCAGCAGCCAATCCTTTTTTTCAGTGTGATAATAAAAATCCAAGCATTTACTAATGAGGAATGCATTAATACTACAATTAATTATTTAAATCATTAGTGTATTGGTCTGGCATGAATAGAATAATATTCTATTCGTTACTTGACGAATTAATAATACATTACAGTGTTCTTCATAAAATCTTTGCTGCTATGGATAATGACTGGAGCGAGTGCATCAACATCGATGAGAATTTGAATATGATGATGATTAAAGCCAGTGTATCTCATTTTTATTCTAATGCTATGTTGAGTTTTAATGGTGTAGCTGCAGTATTGTATGTTTTGGGCGATTATGCAATTCGTTTTGTATATTCAGCCAAAAATTACAATGATACCTTGCGGCAGCTTCCTATCAAGGTGCTTCTTCCCTTTGAAACTGAGCAGTCGCCGATTTTTGAGCTACTGGTCGCAATTCTATTTCTACATATAATACTAGTCTCGTTTGTAGTCGCCGTTTTAAACGGATTAATTTTTACTTTGGTAAGTCTCGTATTCTAAATTCACTTTTTCTATTTTATCAAAATTGACAAAAAAGGATTTGTGATGAAAGATTTGTGATCCAAGAACATTGTTGCACAAAAATATCACTTAATTTGTATTACATCCGACATTTTCGTATATATAACATTGCAGAATTATTGTGTGAGAATACTTTCTTTAGAAACATAAAGATAAACGTTGGAAAAAATATGCTTAAATAATTAAATATGTCACATAAGAATAAACAGTTGAAAATTTACACTAAACATGTGTTTTGCCATTAAAAATATTTTTTACAAATATTATTTGAAACTTTGCAGCAATTTAAGTACATTTTAGGTACTTCACGTAAGCGGGCAAATTGATATAATATGTCAAGGATTCAAAAATATTTCCGAGAATGCCTTTCCTCGATCTTCCGCATTTACATTAGGAATGCTGATCAAAAGGCATAACAAAGTCTACGCATTTTCCGAAAATATTGAGGAATTTTTTTCTTTCATTGCATTGATGCAAGTTGTTTGCAAAACTGTAGTCATTTGTTGCTTAGGATTTGTTATTATAATTGTGAGTATTGCAATAAGTACGTTATGATATCAATATTGTTATTGATATCGATATAAGTTATACATTCTCTTTTATTGTACATTAAAACAGTCGGTTCATAATGAAATCGATTTCTTCGTGTTTGTGAAAGCTACTGTGGCTTATATTGCCGTAATGATAGAAATCTTTATTATTTGCTTTGCCGGAGAATATCTTAGTCTTAAGGTCAGTAAATATAATATTGAAAGGAGTTACTATATTAAAGATTTAACAAATACATTAACTTTATTTCATATGATAAATGATGTACCTTTTATTACAATTTTTTTTACTAATGTCGGAATTAGAATATAGTAGACTAGAAACAAAGCTCTTTTTCCAGATAAAAGTATTCTTTGGATTGAGAGAAAAATATTACTCTGTTGTTTTTGACATAATTTACATTATTTTTAGAGTAAATCAGTCGCTGATGCAGCATATAAATCGTTGTGGTATGATATGCCAATTAATCAAACTAAAATTATATCATTTGTGATAATGAAATCCCAAAGGCGACTGTCGATCACTGCAGGGAAAATGATGGATATGTCATTCGAGGCTTTAACGAGTGTAACCTTTCATAACTTTTTTGATGAATAATTTTTAAATAAAAACTTTATCTTACTTACACAATTGATGTTAACATTCGTTATGATATGTATCCTTTATATATGTATATACATGAATTAAAATTAAATATTTTATACTTTTATTTGTTTAGATCATGAAAGCATCGGCATCATATGTATCTGTCTTGTATGCGATGTATTGACATCAATGCAAGTGATTTGTCAAAATCATATTTAAGTAATTAGTGTAATGAGACGATTTAGAAAATGCAAACTGTTTAAAGGAATTAATTATTAACTTGTTGTTAATAAAGTAGTTGTTATAATATTTTGAAGTAACGTTTGTAATTGCAAAGTTACGCTGTTAAAAATAATATTAATATAAATACGAATAATTGCATTCTTTATTTTATTCATTTATTGAATATTTAAACCTATCTTTATATGTAGCTTACATCAAATTTATTGAATTTTCATTGAATAACTTGGTATATATTTTGCATGTAATTGTAATGACATTTTCATAATACGTTCCGTTGGTTTAAGTTTCTTTGCTTCCAAACTCCATTGCAGTTCATAGTAAGGTATATCATTTTGGTACAATTATAGAATACTCAGACGGATAATACAAGCTATTTCGAATTACTGTTAGATTATACAGCTCGTAACTGGGATCGATTGATTGATACTCCAGCGGAGTATATCGTTTGAGGATCTTTAGGTAATTTTAATGTAAGAAAAGAGCATGGGCAATAGGAGTCAAAACGCAGAAGACGTTACGCAAATAATACGACTATGAAACGTAAAAAACTTCTTTATTTGATAAACGCGCTTACATGTTTCGGCTCATTTTTGAGCCTTCTTCAGAGACAACATACATTCACGTATATAAAAAATAACAAAGATTATCTTACGTTTCGCGGGTTTTCTGATATCAGGCTGCTCCTCGCCCTGATGAAGTGAACTGCAAGGTTCACGAAACGTTGGCATTCCAAGAATGGATCTGAACACGGAGAAAACCCGCGAAACGCAAGATTGTCACATAGGTAACACCCGTGAAAGCCTCAAAAATAATAACAAAGATTAATTTGTCATGGTGAGCTCTCCCGTATCGAGAATATAATTGATCATCATATTAGAAACCGGTTTTTGAATTATCAATAGTAATGTTTGCGATATGATGCCTGCGATCATGGTGAGCTTCTTAATTTCCGGAATAATTAACTTCATTTTAAAGTTTTCTGATACATTAGTTTTCCATTATCTCTAATTTGATATGTTTAAAAATTTCTTTTTGTTTTTCTTTTTTCTTTCTTTTATTTTTATCTGAGTTCAAATTGACAATTATATTCTCGATACAGGGGAGCTCATCATGACAAATTAATCTTTGTTACTTTTTATATACGTGAATGTATGTTGTCTCTGAAGAAGGTTCAAAAATGAGCCGAAACATGTAAGTGCGTTTATCAAATAAAGAAGTTTTTTACGCTTCATAGTCGTATTATTTGCGCAACGTTTTGACTCCTATTGCCCATGCTCTTTCCTGATTCTTTTGATTTATAAGGAGTCTTTGTGGGTTTGATTTGTTATATGGACTTAATTTCAGTGTATTATGCGGATTAACTCATATGAGTGTGTAATACAGATTTTCGTGTTCTGATGTGCTGTTAATGTAATTTTAAGTTCTCTATTCACGCACATTTCCTAATGAGTTTCGAGTTACAGAAAGATAATTGTAAATGCCGTGTGTCCATTTCTCAAAATGGACTGTATATTGTTTAATACGTCCGTAATAAATATTCCAGATACGGCCGAATTTATATAGTCGTATAAGTATGGGTGTTGAAATATCTGGCCATTTTAAGTCATAAATAAGAGCGAATTTTACAAAATTTTGATGACAACAGAGAATGATTGAATGAGTGCAGTAATGTTGATTGGCATTTATACGTGATTACCAAAACTAATATTTCACATTTTTGTTTCCATTCTATGTTAAGCATCAATGTGTCATCCGCAATACTGTATTGGCTACACGTTTCCCAAATTTAATGGAAAAACGCAATAACGTGTTATGAGACAACCTCCTGTTAAGCTAGAAGTTCTTTTAGAAGTTGAACCTTAAAGTCTTACATGCTAAAAATAGAAAAATGCATTAGTAATAAAAAAATATAGTATAATTAATTCAGAAAAGTTTTACTTTTACCAAATTTGTTATTAAAAATACTAATTTATTTATTAAATTTGTTAATATAAAATTATTACGTTTAATATTATTTTAAATAGTTATAAGTTATATCAACTGAAATTATAATTTTAATACAATTAGAAAGAGCTTCAATTTTCTTTTGTATTATACAATAAAAAAAATATTAAAATTTTATTATGTGTGAGAAAAGCAATCCACAGTTTTAAATCTTGCGCATTTCTTTCGTTAACTTCTTATCTGTGCATCATTTTTTTCTTTCTTTGCTATCTGTATTTTTTTTTTAAGTTTTCTCAGGCTTCTTTCAATTGTTTCTTTTCGACAATATTACAGGTAATACGACTATAGAAGTATACGGGCACATGTTCAAAGAAAGATCTACATTTTTAAAGGGAATTGTTCGCTACTGGAAGCCTGTTGATCGTTTGTTACCCCTGAGTTATAATGTTTGAAAGGCCAATGCTTGAGTCGTCAAACGTGTAATTACGAATGATCGATTGATACGACTGACCATGGATGTTGTAGCTTTCGCCGACCCTTCTGCGATCGGTTGGTTCTTTTATTGTCACGCGATGTACAATGGATCAATTGTCGTACGAGTTTCATGCATAACATGTATCGTTTACTCGTACCAGTGGTAGGCAATAATTTAGGAAAGTAAGTATCGTGGAAGATATCACAATTTCATGATATTATTATAACACGCATGACCAACAGTTTTTGTCGAAATGAGATTCCAATTTATCGGCATGTGACTCGTTGCTTATTGCAATTTTCAACGATTCTTTTACATGACGTTAGTTATTATGGTAAAATATTTTTGTGTACTTATATCTTTAAAATAAATGATTTTTTAATTCTCATAAACGCTTTGAGCATAACTTTAACGTAGCATAGCATTTTGAAGTTGGTCAGTCTGTAGCAGAATCGCCAATAAGCTTATATGTAATAAGGGGGCTAATATAAGGAATGATTTAGAAAGACACACGTTCTTCTTCTTCGATCTAACAAATTATCGTACGATGCAACAATATTATTTGTTTCAAAATTATTTCATTATTTTTAAATTATATACCTTCTGTACAATTAATTATGTCAAATAAAAGAGAAATAGAATATTATGATCATAATTTCTTCTTTGTTTGTTTCTTCATATTTTAGATTGTTCTGATGACAAAGATTTTACTCATTATAAAATATTCATCTTTTCTACAATGTGTTTATATTTTGAATGTTCTTTTGTATTTCAAATTTGATGTTTATTCAACCTAGCTATAAAAGTTTTTCTCAAACAGCTCATAAATATAAAAGATGTCATAAAATTCGTTCGTATAGTGTATTTTCCAGACTTTTTGTTTAGACACTTTCAGTTTTATACTGCTGTGTTGCGTATTTTATGTTGCGTTTTTCTCACTATACAAATATTTTTGTGATGTTGCATAGAACATTTCGATCGAGATTTTAGTAATAATGAACAAGGATTGGAGAAAATATATTACCTACCAAATCACAAATGCATGTATCTAATGCTCGTATTCTTATAATTTATATGCTTATTTAATGTATATGCTTATAATTTATTCCAATCTGTCACATAGATGCTTTAATAAAACACTTTAGTTGCTGCTTTCTACGCTCTCGAAAGTCTCATTCGCTCCGCGAAGGATGAAAATAATCCTCACGAGAGCAAATTCGATCTTCTTCTCAAAATGAAATTACTTTTCGAGGTTAATGAATCTCCATCTTTAAGATTATGGCAAGAGTCCAGGAGTTTCATCACCGTCTTCTCTCTAGTCTTAATGATCAATTCTCTGGTCATTACATAGGTGAATTTCAATCAGTTTTTTCACGTTGCAATTAAAGATTATTTTCTAAATTTCTGTGTTATTAAAAATGAATCACTTATTTGTAAATAGTATAACCAGCATTTGTAGATTTTTCATCTAAACAGTCAAATTGATATAATACAAATTTTGACTCAACCTTTTCAAAAAAAGTTATCAGATCTTTTCGCTTTTTACGGAGATTCTCATCTTAAAGTATCTCATACTTGTCTCATATATAAAAAATCTCTTTTAAATTGATGCTGATTCGTTCGATGCAGTTCGTGTTTAACCCCTTGGTTATCTAATGTCTTATAATTCATGATTATTATACTATGATAAAATTTATTTACAATGATAATTACAAATTGAGTCATTATTTTAATTTAAAAATAAATAAAAGTTATAATTTTTTTAAGTTTGTTATGTAGAAATACAATCGTTATATAATAATCATTATAACATATTTTACTCGTTATTATTGATGATTTCTAATTCGAAGATGTCTATGGATTTTGATAATTTTATTGGTTTATTGTAAAGCGAAATAATATTATTATTTATTAACTTGTCAGTATTATATTGAAGAGGACCTAAAAGTCGGAACGTCTTATAACTTTATTTTATTAATATATTATATATATACTTTTTACACACGACTACCTAGTGTCGGCTGAGTTTTTCTTTTAGTATATAAATAATCACTATATAATGATTGTATTTTCACATAATAATAATAATAACAAACTTAATAAAAATTATTAACTTTTTATTTACTATTAAATCAAAATAGTTACTCAAAATATTAAGTAATTCATAGTTTTATGAAATATTAATGCGGATTTTGCTTTGCTATGGCATAACCGATTTGTATTATTTATTTATACTCTCTCACAGGTTATTGATAACAATCAAAAAGCTATAATATTAATGAAAATCATTCTATTTTACATCATAATAATCACGTTTGTTTTATGTTTTCGCTGGGAAGTATCTTAGCGCAAAGGTTATTAGTGTTATTACATTCGAACTATTATATATTTTATCGAATCGATCTTATTTCTTGATAAATTGTGTTAACAAGCAGTTTTGTAAGCTTTTAACTTTATAAATTGCTGTTACATAAGCGTATCTATATCTCAAACACAATTTTTTTCAGGAGAAAAGAGTATTTGCTCTTGCTCGACACTTGTAGAACTCATTTGGTTGTCTTTTACAATAAATTGATTGCAAATGCTGTATACAAGTCCGTCTGGTACAATATAACGCCCAACCAAAGTCGCACCCTTCTGTTTGTGATTGTGAGGTAGCAAAAGAGATTGACGAAAAGTGATAGATCTTCCTCTGGAGGGATTCACTGGCATAAGATCTATTCTCATACATACGAAATGTTGCTCATGGATATTAAACGCGTCTCGGATGAATATCAAAGCTGACTGTGCAAACAATTTATAATGCAAACGAATCAGCAGCCTTCGTAACTATGCACACATCCGATATGATCCTTACAATGAAAAGTGTCTCTTCGTATACAGGTTATAAAAGCTTCTACGTCGTGTATATCGCTGGATGCGATGCATTGAGAAATGAACTTGCATTATGAACTTGTATACGAATATCAGTGATTATATTTGCGTCGATTTGATGAAACTAATAAGAAGACACAGAAAATATCGGTATCGCGCGCGCAAAGATTACTTCTTAAAATATGTAATAATTATAGTTATCACACAATAAAAAAAATATATTATTAAAAAATATATATACGTATACAAAAAATAACTCAATAATATACACAAAAATAATATATTACTTTTTGTATAATAAATAAAACTTATTTTCTGGAATAATTAGTTAGGTATTATCAAGTAACGTTAACTTGCTTCTAATATTAGCGAAGTGGAAATTATACTAACACGGTTTAAACGTGAACGATATTATTGCAATATATTAGAAAGTAAGATGTCTGTCCTTTTATTTATAATATTTTTAGTTTATACATATTATTCTTTTTGATTGACAAACTTTTGCAAGTAGGCATGTTACGTACGTTGACATTTATATTATTGATATATGTATAGTAGATTATCTCCTCTGATCTTTTCTAAGCAGCATGTGAACATTATCATATGGTAATTCCGTATTATTTTTGTTTATAAAACAACAATGAATGACTTAGAACTTCTCTCAAGTTTTCTTTTAACAACACTGGACCTTTTCTTTGCTTTTGTGTTTCTCAAGTCTTTCAACGCGTCTGGCATTGTTCACATGCGCTCAAAGGGTCTCTCATTTTTTTTTTGTTAAATGAATAACTTACGTCCCCCTCCTTGTAATTTTCAATACGTAGCTTCGAATTATGCTCTTTCTTCTTTGTAATAACTCGTAATCATCATAAAAAAATAACGTATGCTTCTTTTCTGCCGTCGCATCAGGAACGGTAAGAGCACGTATAATTGCGATTGATTGATAACGATCGACGAAGGGGCAACATATTGTGGCCTGGCATAGCAACTGGAGTTATAGCTCGTTGAAACTCAATGCTTAATTTCCGAGTAGCGATGTTCGCACGATAATCGTTTCGCCTTTGACGAGAAAACGTCGTCGTAGTCCGATTCCATATAAGATAATGCGCGCAACTACTATCAGCACTTCCGTCGAGATCGGACTCCGCTTTGTCGGAATCTGGCCGGGGTTGCCGTACGGAACCATCACTTGGTTCGCGTACATGATAAGCTTGGTGTTCGCGCTGTACTTTCAGTATGTGTACGTCTTCGATCATTTCGACGTCAACAATATCTCGAATCTTGTCGATGCGCTTAGCATTACGTTGGCTTATAGTCTTAGTTTTCTAAAGTTGATCTCTCTCTGGTCGAACCGCAGGTAGGAACAGTTCCTTAATGTAAACGAGGATGACTATTCAATGCAAAATACGCAAGCGATTTTCTACAGGCTATTTTATGATATCGTGTTAGCGATGGAAGAAGATTGGAATAATGTCAACATTTACGATAAATCGGTCCTGTGTATTATGGCGAGCAATGCCAATTTATCGCGTCGTTGCTCGAACGTGTTGATCAGCATTAACGCTACAGCTGCAATTTGTTACTCTGTGACTAATTTTCTACGTCTCTCGACCGACTTTAAGGAGGATCTTAACATTAGTTCGAGAGTGCTGCCTGTAAAGATGAAATTTCCCTTCAAAGTTGACGTGTCTCCCCTCTTTGAGCTTTTAGCTGTCGGTCAGATTCTTCACGTAGTGTCAATCGCCACTTTAGTTGCTATGATGAATTGCTTGATCATTACGCTAGTGAGTTTAATTTAATCGATCACGTGAGTGATGAGTAGCTTTTTAAGATTTATAATTAAAAATTAAACCGATGAGAATAAATCTTTGCAGATTTTTGAGATGCTTATTTACTATCATCATAATTAAATTGACACTCAATGTAATTTGAGATATTAATATTGCAGTTTATAATTGCATTTCAAGTCCGATAAACTGAATCGACGCGCAATGTATAAAACTGAAAAATTTTGTAAAAAATTTGCATAGGATTATTATTCATCACCAAGATCCACTTTGACCAAAAATAGGATTATTCCCTTAATGAATTATTTCTTTTAATTTATTTCTTCATTTTTAATATTTATTATCCTTACTTTCTTTTCTCTCTTTACCTGTGACATATGCTCCTGCAAGCATTAAAATTATAATTAAGATTGGTTGTTGTCTTTTCTGATTTTGCACTTAAAATTTAGATACTTTGAAAAAGATTTTTTATTTACAATAATTTGCAGAAGTTCGTTTGGTGGAATCTATTAATAGTCACATTTAGGTACTTCACGTGAGCGGACAGATCGATATTCTTCGCCGAGAGTTACTGACAATTTACGACAACGGAATTTCTCAGCGTGATGTCGTTACAAGTGTCAGGCTTCTGATTATCCGACACCAAAAGATAATAACTCTTTCAGATAATATCGAGGAGCTTTATTCCGACATCGCGCTGATGCAGTTTTTATCAAATACCGTGGTCATCTGCTGCATCGGTTTTACTATCATAGCCGTAAGTTGCATCGTTAATTAATAAAATTTATGGCATTATTTTGTAATTTTACACATTAAATTTATTAAATATCTTTCGAGCTCTTTGCAATCTTCTTCTAGTCTCTTGTTAGGGATGGAGCCACAGTGGTGATTTTGAAATCCGCTGTTTTTTACGTCGCCGTAACGTTAGAAGCTTTTATCTTTTGTTTCGCGGGAGAATACCTCAGCGCCAAGGTTCGCATAGTATTTTATCTTATACGTGTTATATTCTATTTTATTCTTTTTTGGGTCACTGGCAATCAATTTTCAAACTTTTTCTTCTCTTCTGCAGAACAATTTATCAAGCTTGATCAGTTTAATATTTACGTATATGTGTTTCTTGAATGTTCGAAAAATATGGGTCAGATTTGAAATAAAATTCAGGATGTGTTATGGAATTATTCGGAATAGATTCTCCGAACGGAATTATTTAATTATTCCCTAAAGTTCTATTGTGTTTTCTGGGGAAAATAACTCCGATTACAGAATTCATTCCGAATAATTCTGTAATACGTGCCCCGATAAATTGATAGACCTTTCCTTTAAATTTGTATACTATTCTTTTTGTTTAGAGCAAATCGATTGGCGATGCAGTCTATGAAGCGCTATGGTATAACATGACACCTGCCGAGTGTCGGATTTTGTTATTTGTGATATTAAGGTCGCAGAAGAGATTGACGATTACAGCTGGAAATGTTATGGATCTTTCTTTAGAAGGATTTACGAGTGTGAGAATTTTAAATTGCGAATATACCTATAACGAGATGAAACGTCAAAATATTTAATGTTTCTTAAGACAAAATAGAAAATAATATCTAATTTATTACACGAACGAAATTTATCATTTTTCTTCAATTAGGTAATGAAAGCATCAGCTTCGTATGTGTCAGTGTTGTATGCGATGTATTAAACGAGGTTAGTGGATAACAATTACTTGTGCCAAGTATATCCATCGTGGTTATTGGCGTATTGGACAGTAGCAAATGTAGCATTACAGTTGGAGCGAAATCTGTTTTAAATATACAAAAAAGAGAATATAATTTATAAAATAATCTAGAAATAAATAAATAAAAATAACACAACTCTCTAAGTAAAAATAAAGCAACTAACTAATAACAATAAATAACTAACTAAATAAAAAAATGACTAAATAAAAATAAATTTTTTTTGGACAGTATAATCGTAATAAATTGCTTCAGAGATTTTTACAACTTCTAAAAATGTGTAAAAAAACATTTTTAATATTATTTATTTTCCCTTTATATTTTAATAAATCATTCATATTCTTACTTCTTATCGACAAGAGAGTTCGAGCTTCACTAAGTACCTACTTTTAAACGTTTATATTTATTACACTTCAAAAAATTGTATATTTTAAATTTCGATAAAACATAAATTGCATGTAAAAGACTCCAGTTTTGTTTTTTTATGTTATTCACTTACTGTCATTTGTATACTTACTTGCTCATACAGTAGCAATAGATGTACCGCTACGAATAATTATTTTTTCCCTCGGTATGTATGTCCAATCCCAACGTAGCAATTTAACTTTCTTCACCGTGTCGCTCGCGCACTTTCCTGAATTTATAAGGTTTGAGGTAATCCCAGAGATAATGTATTATGTCTGTTTCCTCTGCTAGCTTTTTTCTCTCTATACCTACCGACATTAAGGCTGTTTTCTCACGTATAATTTTTCATATATATAGTGTTGCGCTTACATAACTAAAAATTATCTAGATGAAGATTAGATAAATTGCACATAAATTACATATCTAAAATAAGATAAAAGTGATTTTATTTTAAAATTATCTAAATAAAAGATAAAGTTATAAGTCAGTTTATCTAAATACTTTTCAGATAATATAGCCTTTAAGCAAAACAATTTAGAACATAGAAACAATATGTTTCTATTACTCTCGTTATAACTATTACATAGAAATAATATTCATATTTCGTAATTTTCCTCATATATAATATAAGTTATTAATCCTCAAAAATTAGAGTCTTTCAAGTATTCCATTTGACTAATAATATCTGCTTTCATGTAAAAATACATCAATGTATCTCATTCAATAATAGTGTTATTGTACTTTTTAAAGCTAAATGTGTCTATGCACTCTTCTCTCTCAACGTCCTTTCCTTATATCATCACAAACTTTTAACCTTGCTTTCAATTTACCTTTATGAATTTATCTTTCATAATTGCTACTCTTTATTTCTTTTCGATATATTTAAAATTATTAAGTATTTCACGCATCTCTGATACTCACGTATGTTCAGCGCACGTACATTTTTCTTGCATTTTTAATGCAAATGCAATCAAACCGATGTTCGAGAGCTCGTCATCTAATAATGAAAATGGAGATACGTTTTAAAATTGAGAGCACATCAGTACATATAGTTATTCTTGTTATTCAATTTATTCATCCGACGAGTGCTGGTAGTATGGTAGGCGTATTCAATTGTTTTCTGATAATATTGGTAAGTGAGCATTTGTTCGTAATTTACCTGTAATCCTGGAACAGAAAATAATTATGATGTAATTCTGAGACAGAAGATTGCTAAAACATTTCACATATTAGGTGTATAATAACTAAGTTCTCGCCGTTAAATATCATTCTTTTATTAACGCAAAAGGGACGATACAATTGTTTTAATTAAAATATTTTCTGTTTGCATCTTCCACCTTTTGTCATCTTTCAGGCAGCATACGAATGCCGTGGCGAAAGAATGTCTCGTCTCTTGACGCAATGAAGTCGTAGATTCATTTTTAACTGCTTCATTTTGAAAGTACATTTTGGAAAGACGCTGTGATGCATCGATTGGAATAAGTAATAATCAGACGACGCGATGTCCTGAGAGTACGCTGTGAATGGAGAAAGATTTCCCATTCAAGATCATACAACGCTTGTTTGACTTTATTAGCAACATGAGACTTTGCATTGTCGTGGAGCAAATTGACTTTGCATCATTTTGAAGCAACTGTCGATCGCTTCTTTTGAATTGCTTTTGAATTTGGCTCAAATTTGAATCAATTTTTCGAATGTTTGAGTCAAACAATTAAAAACAAACGAATGACAGTTACCTTGAAACGACAAGGTCATTTTGCTCCACAACAGTGTGAGGCTTCATGTTGCTCATGAAGTCAAACAAACACTGTATCATTTTAAATGGGAAATCCTTTCCCACCCAGTATACTCTCCAGACATCGCGCCGCCTGATTATCACTTATTCCGGTTGATGCAGCACATCGTCTCCAAAACACACTTACAAAATGAAGCAGATATTAAGAAATGGGTCGACAACTTCATCGCATCAAAAAATGTAATAATGTTTATAATAATGTATGTAAATGTAAATAATGTTTATAATAATAAAAAATAACTATCACGGAGGAAAATTAATAGATCGTTTACATACGTCATTTTTTAAAACTTTTCGATATTTAATTATTATACAGAATAATTTTACTTTGCTTACTACTTTTTGAATCTATTACAATATGTGTCTGTTATTCATAAATATAATTTATAGTTTCAACTTAATTTTTTAATTTGTATTTTTCAGATTTTGAAGGCGTCGGCATTATATGTATATACATTTGTCTTTGCTATGTATTTACATCAATATACGATCCATTAGCTGCAATTCTAAAATAATATTGATGCTTGCTAATAAATAAAAACATATTTACTCAAGAGACCTACAAAATCTCCTAATTTAAATCTGATAAGGTATGTGTGAGGTAAGATGAAAACATCCTGAATAACTATCCTGATGAGCTAGGAACTACGAATTGAAGAATCATGTATCAAGTATGAAATGAATTGTCATTGAGTTCTGATTACATATAGGTAAATTTAACGTTAAGACGTATGCAACAAATATTCTAGAAAGATGATTTTTGGATGAAATACTTGTAAATATTAAAAAACGTAATTTTTTAACCAAATATATTCACTCATTGTGTGTATAAATGCATAGTAAAATTGATCATGCATTTATATATGTACATTAGCATCTATATGTATATTAGCTGTATATTTGAGAAATCTTTAAATTATCAGGCAAATTTTAATTTTAATATTTAAGAAAATATGTCAATTAAGAATATGTGGCCATTTTTGACCGAATTTAAATCAAGAAATTTTACCGGTCAATGTATTAATTCAAATCAAAATCAGGATCGGCATGAAATCATTCCCAAATCAAATATGAGGAATGCGCAGAATTATTGTCTTGTTCAATCTTGATAATCAAATATTGTTCCTTGAGATATATTTGTTTTGTATAACTTAATTTTCAACACTTTTATCTACATATTCTTTTTCATTTTCACATATTCTTCAATATTTATATGTGATGATTTTTACAATATTCGTCAATCCGGTGGATGTACTTCCTCAAAATCTTAATGTAATTCTTCCATTGTGTTCAGAGAAAATCTCATATTTCGGATTTAGAATATGTTCTCCATTTGAACGCTATACTCTGTGGCTGCGTTCCATTTAACACTCACAACACTCACGGAATCATTTCATCCTTGTTGTTTCAAACGTTAAACAAGGATAAACGATGCTGGCGAGCGTTGCGAGTATTATGTAGAACGCATCATATATTATTCATCTTCTGCTAAAGAAAATATTTTTTCGTTTCTACCCATAATATTATAACGTTTAACTTCTTAAATATACTTCTTGTGAAGTATACTATGAGTGCGTTCCGAAATTCACTGCCAATGTTGAAAACCTATAGCGTACGTAACGTATACTATATAGTTTCAGCACTGGCAGTGAAAATTGGAACGCACCCTATGTGTAATGTTGCACAGCAGATTCGATTTCTTTTTGTTTCGATGAGCCTTTGTGAATGCAATTATTTTTACGGATGTATGTGAACAAACTTTAGCAGTTTTTAATGGACGTCTTACTGTGCTTTCAAAAATTGGAAAATTACCATTACGCATCTGTTGCAGCAGCACTGAAAGAATTTGCAGTAATCGATCAAACGATTTCTTTATTTTGCTCTGTAGTTTTTCTTGTAGTTCTCTTATGTTATTCTTCTTGTGATCCTTTAACTTCAAGCCTCCTTTGTATTTTTTTATTCATAATGAAACAGTTGTGCTGCATTGTATAGTTTGTACAATATTTGTCTTTTCTATTTACTTCTATTAAGTCTTACCCTGAAGTCAGTCGGCATACTGGCTTATTCTTCTACTTTTGAAAAGTAGAAAAGAAGAAGAAACTAATGTCAACCGATACGATCGGCTTCAGTGAGAATAAGCCTTAAGGTATAAAATTCGGTGATACGATTACTTTTTTTATTTCTATTCCTCTTTCTTTCTTTCTTTCCATAGCAAGTATAGAATTACATATAGTTAAAGAGAAGTCTGTTCTAAATATACAGAAAAGAAAATATTATATAATTTACAAAAAATGTAGAAATAAATAAATAAAGAATAACACAGCCAACTGATAAAAATAAACAAATAACTAAATAAAAATTAATCTTTTTGATAGAGAAATAGTAATTAATTTCTCCAGAGATCTCTTTTCGATTTTTAAAATGTAAATTTTTCGATTTTTAAAATGTATAAAAAACATTTTCAACACTATTTATTTTCTCTTTATATTTTAAATTATTCACATTCTTAATTCGCATCGATGAGAGAGTCCAAGTTTTATTAAGTAACTTTAGATATTCATATTTTTTATAATTAAAAATATCATAAATAATTTAAATTTTGATATTTTAAATTTGTATACAAAGATTCCAATTTCATCTCTTTCGCGCTGTTCATTCACTGTCGTCCGTGTACTACCAGCTCGTAGTAGCAGTAGGTTTATCCCGGTGCGAATAATTATTTTTTCCCCTCGGTATGAACGTCCAATCCGGACGTAGCAATTTAATTTCCCTTACCATGCCGCTCGTGGTCGTTTTCTACATTTTAGCGATTTAAAGCGTCTTGATCTAACCGGCCATTAGCCTGCACGATCTCCCCAGAGTCTTGCACCCGATCGCACACGGTTCCTGAATTTTTAAGATCCGGGGTAATTCCGGAGACAATGCACTCTCTCTCCGCAACCCTTATTCATTTTTTTCCCCTCGTTATCTATACCCGCACTTATCTTACCTGACTGTTGTAAACTTGCAACCGACCTGGCAATTCTTCCTTCCGATGGGAATATCTTGTTGGTACTTTCTATTGGTTCATGTCGACGTCGAGGTGGGGGATTGGTAGCGCACAACGATTCTTCCGTGTTCATCCGCTTTCATCCCCCGTGCTCATCCATGTGTTCAATATCGCTACACGAAGTACATGGTTGGATTTTCGACGAAATAGCGAAGTTTCAAGGTAGTATCGATGTAAGGAGGCATCCTGGTCGAAAATACCATTCAAAGGCAGCGCTCCGAAAATGAACTCGAAGACCGATTCCTTGAAGATCCTTGACGGCACTGTTAGTCGTTCAATCGAGATCGGTCTCCGCGTGATCGGCGTTTGGCCCAACTCGTCCTTCACGATCCTCCGTCGCGCCTTCTGGATGATCACTCTTACGATGGCGCAGACCTTTCAGTATCGATATTTCGTTATACACGTCCGCACGGACGATCTCTCACATCTGATGGATGGTCTTAGCACTACGATGTCTTATAGCCTCCTACTACTGAAACTTACGATATTTTGGATCAATCGACGGTGAGCTTCGCTTATCTAAGTCGCGAAACGAACGCAATCTTTCCATGCATTTGAGTATCGAGTTCAAATTGATTTGGTATTTTTTTAAAATAAAACGAAATGAAGAATTAGTTCTATATACGAAAATATCAAAGATCAAATAAAGACAGATTTTCACAGTTATAATATTTAATTGTTGTACATGCATCATGATTTAAAGTATGTGAAGAAAGTGAAAGATTGTTACATTCTTTTATGATCATAAGCGAGCTCGAAAGGCAAGTCCCCAAATTTCTCACAGGATATTCCACGACATCCTGACGATGATGTCCCAAGATCGGAGCGAGTGCATGACCGAGTGGGCCATCTACTCAATGTCAAGGACAACCGATGTGTCGCATCGGTTTTCCAACTTGATCATTGGTCTTTATTCGACATCAGTGTTTATTTACGGTACCGGTGTACTCGTTGCTCATCCTGACGAGTCCGACGAGCAACTTACGGTGCCGGCGCGAGAATTGTTTCTTAAGATGGAGCTACCCTTCGAGTCCAGTGCCTCTCCTGCGTACGAGCTCGTAATGATTACGCAGTTTTTCCATCAATTATCAGCAGCCACGATAGTTGGTGTACTTAATGCCTTAATTGTGTCATTGGTAAGTGAATATAAGCTAAGATGACAAAGAAAAACAATAAGATAAGTTATAAAGATCTTTGGATCAAAGAAGTTTTGGATCAGTACAAATCTCATTGGCAATAAAATAACATAATTAATGTTACTTTATAAGTTGCTTTAATTCTTTTTTATAAGAAGAGACGTAAAAGAAAAATTTTTTTATTATATACTTGTTAAAAGAAAAGAGAGAACAAGTGTAGAGTAGATTCTAATTCTAAAGCATTTACAATTAAATTGATAAGTATTGCACTAAATGTACAATTATATCACGTAATGGAGATGCGCAATTTATATAAGTAGCTTATTGTTAGTAGAATAATAAAATAATTTTGATTGGATCTCTCGCGCTCCGCATTGTTCGAGATAACGAGTATTCTGTATTATTCGCGTGATTAATAACTTATTTCATTTACTTTATTTAGCGAAATGAAAAGCATTCTGGTAAGTCTGATCGATAAATAATAATATGGAGTTTAAAACGTCTCTATATTTTTGCCGTTAATTCCTCTATTCTTTTATAATATAATAAATTAAATATGATATCGCCCAAAGCGATATATAATTTCTTTTATTAAAATGTTTATAAAATATTCTTAATAAAATAAATTTGTAATTAATATTATATTTTATATTTTTATATTATTAATATAATATTAATTATTGTAATTAATTATTTAATTATTAAGTATAAGATTTTAATTCTAATGTATAATAGATTTCGCTTATCTGCTGTTACTTTCCTTGTTGATGAATTTTTATATTCACAAGTTGTTTTCTATACTGAATCGTGGCAATATCGAGAACATACTGCAGGGCGTTGACCGTTATTTTTAGATTCTTCACGTAGGTGGGCAAATCGATATAATGTGCCGAGGGTTGGTAGAAATCTCTTCAGACGATACGTTCGACTTGCAAACCTCGACTATCAAAGCTCTAATACATCGACATCAAAGAATTATTGCGTTCGCAGCCGACATCGAGACTCTCTTTTCATATATAGCTTTGATGCAATTCCTGTGGAACACTTTAGTCATCTGCTGTCTCGGATTTCTAATTGTAATTGTGAGTACTTTATGAAGTCAAATGTACATGCAGTTAATACATATGCAGTAACATTAAATTGCCATTACATGAAACATTTTTATTTTAAATTTTTCGCTTATCGATACGCAATAAAACGGAATATCTCGTACAAAAGTATTCAAAATAAATCCAAAATAAATGATGGCATTCAAGTGTGGATTTTTAGCATTCTTATTTTGCTCGCTGTCCAGAGCATTTTATGTTTGGTATTATTTCCGATTATGTTACAGTCGATCGGCGACACGCAAGGGTCGACAATGATGATTAAATCCCTCTTTTTTTACGTTGTCATTACTTTGGAGGCATTCATATTTTGTTATGCTGGAGAATATCTTAGTGCCAAGGTCAGAACGATGCAGTTATAAATATTATCTTCACGAATTCTTTCTATTTATAATTTTAAATAAATAACGCAACAAAGCTTTGGTATAATTATTGAAAGAAAAAATTATGTGTATCAATATATGTACATAATTTTTCTTATAATATTGTTTATAATATTATATATCAAATTTTATATATTTATATGTATGTAATTTTTTTGTCAGTTACAAATTTCATACAACTTTCTGCGTATAATTTTATCGTCATGTAGGTTATTTTTTTTTTGATATTATCATCATTGAAAAAATATATTTCGAAAAATATATATGAGTGAAGATGTATTATATAGTAATGTTGTACCTAAGCGGTATACTTTTTTTATCATAATTTTAAAACTTAATCACTCACTCGATTATTGTAGGGCAGAATGATCGGCAATGCAGCATACGAAACTAAGTGGTACAACTTGAATCCCACGCAGAGTCGTATTTTATTATTGATGATTTTAAGATCACAAAGAAACTTAACTATTACGATCGGAAAATTTATGGAGCTCTCCCTAGAACGTTTCACAACAGTAAGATGTGCTTTCAGAACTACATTTTTCCATACCTGATATAGGTTGTACATACTTTGAAAGAAAATACACATTGTTAATTTCGAATTTAACTTATAAATTAGTAGGAGACAATATATTTTTATGTATAAAAGATGATATATTTTTATCTTGTTTATTTCATTAAATTTTTATAACAGTTGTATCGATAAAAGTATATAGCGTTTTACAAGCTGCCATACAAAATACGACAAGTTCTACCTTCTTTCTTCTAGATTATTAAGGCATCAGCGTCTTATGTATCCGTGCTGCATGCTATGTCTTAAAAGCCATGTATAGTTGAAAAGGCAATACCTTTTGTATGTTTATGTAGCTATTGTGTTATAAGAAACGCGATATCTCACGAATTCTAGGAACTCATTAGCGTTCCATGAACATGAATGCCCTTATGTAAAAATACATCAATATATCTCATTCGATTCAATAATAGCGTTGTATTGTTTATGGATAAATGTTTCTATGCGCTGCTCAACGTCTTTTCCTTATCATTGCAAAATTTCACCCTCGCTTTCGATTTATCCTTATGGATTTACCTTCCACAATTCCTGCTCTTTGTTTCTTGGTATTTAAAAGTTTTAAGTATTCTACGCACGCATCTGATATTCACGTGTGTCCAGCGCACGTACATTTTTAATGCAAATAACGGACAGCGACTGAGTGATGCATATACCGGGGTAAGTTAGACGCAGGCGTGGGTACTCCTGCCCATTTTTTTTGTAATTATCGAAGAATCATTCTATAATTTTTATTCATGACTTCTAAGATGAAAGAAAAAATATGACATGAAATAAGCGATGAATAATTACTGTCTCGTGCACGGTCAAGGTGGAATCAATTGAGTGTAGAATTTTACAGTTTCACTAAGACTTCTCGCTCAGTTATGTCTAAGAATTGAATTCGAACTTGGATCATATCGAAGTCGGAAATTTCTTTTTCCAATCCATCGCTCTGAAATTCAACGTTTCTTCAATCTTCTTGTAGTTCCAAAATATTTAAATTGTACTGATTTCTATTCGGGATAAATAATCTGTTTAGTAAATCGAGGTCTTCTACACATTATAGTCTTATCTATAGAGAAGAAAACCGAGAATTAGTGATAACTTGCCGTATCATCCGTTTAAAGAAATGTCTTTGAGCTCAATGGAGAACGAGATAGATTCGACGAATATCGTGTGCTGGTCTGTGCAATACGGTCTTCGTATGATAGGTGTATGGCCGGGCATGTCATGCGCAATTTTATTTAAAATTCTCAGCATATCATCAATGATCGTATTTCAAATTCTTCAATATCAATACGTGATCGTGCATTTTGAGGAGGAGGATTTAATGATCCTCATGGACGCATTAAGTGTAACTTTCGCTTACACCCTTTTACTTATCAAAATGCTTATTTTTGCGTTCAATTCTCGGTAAGGCTTCTTCAAAGCGATATATATCGAGCACAGAATTAAATGCAATTCATAAACACTTCTGATATCTTTTATTTTAGTTTTCAAGTCATAAATTGGACTAAAAATATATTTTACTTATATAAATTTACTATTAATTTATGTAACATTGACATAATGACAGAATAAAGACTTCTCTGTATTTTTATGCAATCATATTGGTCACAATATCTCTTTAAACAATCCGTTATAGTCTGCTGAACGAAATCATAACAAGCATGATCAAAGATTGGAAGGAATGTGATGTTTCGGATGAGTACACAATGTCCAGAATAGCTTATATATCTCGTTGGGTTTCCAACGTTATAATTTGCTCACATATGACGTCAGTATTCCTCTACGCGATAGGCACAATAATGAAGATCAAAAATGAAAATCAAACCGATGTTCGAGAGCTCATCATCAAAATGGAGATACCTTTTAAGATTGAGAGCACATCAGTACACATAGCTGTCCTTGTTACTCAATTTATTCACCAGACAAGTGCGGCTGGTATGGTGGGTGTAGTGAATTCCTTGCTAATAATACTGGTAAGTTTGAGTATTTCTTCGTGATTTGTCTATATTCCTGGAACTGAAAATAATTATGATATAATTCTGAGACAAAAGATTGTTAAAACATTTTATGTACATATAGTAACAACAGCTATAATTATACAAAAATAATAGTTTGTGAAATAAAATTATATAAGCAGACGCGAAAAGTATATTTTTTCATCTTCGTTTTATGTTAATTTTGATTCAGACCAAGAAAACGAACGCAAATAAGCACAATCGTCATTAATTCACACTCATTGAAACAAGCTGTTCTTTCGTGTTTGTTTGCATTCGTTTGTTGAATCGAGATTGAGACATTACATTGGACTGAAAATACGCGACATTTATTTAGGTTTTTCACGTGTGTGGGCAGATTGATATAATGCGGCAGAAATTGAGTGAAATTACGCAGAAGAACGTCGAGCGGAAGAACATCGAGCAGAATGTGAATGAAAACGTCTTAAAAGATCTGATCGTTCGACATCAGGAAATTATCACCTTCTCCAAAAACATCGAGGATCTCTATTCCAATATTGCACTGGTACAATTTGTATCGAATACTCTGGTTATTTGTTGTCTAGGATTCCTTATTGTTATCGTAAGTATACTAAAATGATATTAATTTCTTTGAAATATAAAGTAATATATAAAATTTCAGTCTATCGGTGCCCCAGGCGGATCAATGATGTTGGTCAAGTCCGTATTCTTTTATATTGTTATGAGCTTAGAAGCATTTGTATATTGCTTTGTCGGACAATATCTGAGTACAAAAGTCCGTATAAAATGTATTATATCAGATATATACGATATCTGTTACGATATTCTCTATGACAAAGATATATGATTGTATATTTTAGAGCGAAATGGTCGGCGACTCGGCGTACGAGTCATTTTGGTATGAATTGAGTCCTAGTCAAAATCGAGACATCCACATTATGATCATAAGATCCCAACAGCACTTGACGCTCACGATAGGAAAAGTTATGGAACTTTCTTTGAGACAATTTGCCAATGTAAGAATTTAGCAAAGTTAATGAAAATGATAAAAAAAAAAACTACATCTTTTTGCGCGAAGTGTTATCACGAATATATCTTGACAATCATTTTTTAATCGTTGAGTCCTAATATGATATTCCTATATGATAACTATAATAGCTTCTATCATGTTGTAGATCCTTAAAGCTTCGGCGTCATACGTGTCGGTGTTGCACGCAATGTATTGAGGTCTAAATATACTTTGTACGTCGCTTATATTTTTGCATGCAGATCTCTATAGTACTTTTACACGATTGGTCATTTTCCCATTCAGAGACTCGACGGGGTTTCGCGTCGAGTGTACGTAAACAAAGGAACAAGAAAATTATTTACTGAAGCATCAATTGGTGATAATCGTACTTGATTTGGAGTGCATAAGAAAAGAGCTATAAATACAACAATGATTCTCTCGATCAATGTACTTTGCCAGATCTGATAAAATAAAAAAAAGCATTTTTTTTAAACAGAAATTTAATTTAATATTATCAAATTAAGTATTTTATATTAATTAAGATCAAATTTTTATACTAATTTTTATACTAATTAGAATAAAATTTGAAAGATACTTATTTTTTAATAATTTATTTCTATATTCATGTATAATTAATTTCAAACATATAAAATGCATGCTTAATATATATATTTTCATAAAATAGATATGAAAGTACGTTAATGCATGTACACATGTAAAAATATTATAAAAGCTATTATCCTTTTTATTTTATATTAAATTTTCTCAAATAAGATATTATAATAAAATGTTTTTTGTGACTAATTGTAAGAATTAGGTATATACTTATTAACCGTATTTTTATAATATTGTATACGTGTTTATATTTGCAATATCAGTATAAATTAAAATAAATTTATTTGTTTAAGAGTCTTGAGCTTCTGATTAAAGATGAGCTGATGTTATGTAAAAACTATTGTACAAAAATATTGTTACAATATTATGAACTTATTTTCATTACAAGAAGATATTACTCGTCGAGCTATCTTTTTCTTCATCACATGTTCCAGCTTGCAGAATCACTATATGCTCTAGTTTACAGCACCTTCTCGGAACCAGCTATAATATTAAATGTAATTTTCTCACTGGTTTTTCCATCGCAACAACAGGTACGTCTTCGTTTCCTCCCTACAACAAATCCCTTCGATGTGCTCCCCCAGTAGTACGTTTCAACCTCGCAATGAGCGGTTCTTGGAAGTTGTGTTACCTTGCTCACCTCAGTGCATTTTTAAGGAATACGTGCATTTGCTGCAGTGTGATCGTCAGTTCGAAGGGGATGATCCTACTGTTTATGTTCGTCCATCCATTATAATTGCAATTTTGCTCAGTACATTACGAATATATATTTAATATCGAAAATATCGAAATATATATATATATTATATATACATATATATATTTCGATATTTTAATATTTCAAATCTTTTAATATTTGTATTTGATCATACACTTCGGGGCAGCATTATTTTTCTGTTCATGAATGTGATAAGCTCAACCATAACTTATAAGATATATGTTTCATTTTTATGCTTACACGCTGTAAGCATCAGTTCATTCTTGTTATTTATTAAATATTAATATTAAAAGGAGAAATTATGCTTACAAGCGTTGTAACGCAATACCTACTTCTGTTTATAATTAAAAAATGTTAATCAATGATTGATAAGACATAATTACATTCAGTTTTCGATCTGTGATAAAGTATTTTGAAATGATTATAATCTTTGAAACGTTTCTTACAGCTGACCATGTTTTAGTTCGATTCAGTCAATATGTTCATATTATTTTTTTGATCGGGTATATCATCTCTATCGTATTATTAAAATTTTGCTGGGGGGTAACGTTGATTCAAGTACCGATACCTTAGTATCGGTACATGATGGTGAACATTTGCTTTACATTTTTAATATAAATAACGTACGGTAACTGAAGGAAGAAAAGAGGATATAGAAAACTTGATAGCTGTCTTTACATGAATTTTTTGTAACTACCGCAATTATTGAAACATCGACTTATAATTTTTCCTCGTGACTTCTGAGATAAAAAGAAGTAGAATGTGAACAGCTTTCATTGGTTGGCTACAACCATGGTGGGGATTACTCGAATACTGAATTAGATTCTAGTATTCTAGCGTTAGACTTTTAGACAGTTTTATTAAAACCTCTCGAGTGATCACATCTAAAGACAAAGTTAAGACTATTGACTATGTCGTACTTGAGAATTTCCTTTGTCTATTAACTTTGAAATCGAACGTTTCGTCAGTATTGCGGTTTTAGTGCAAAAATTTTAAGCTGCGTCGTACTGATTATTTGAACTATATATGCTGTTACGTTAGCAAACTGATACTTTCTTCTGGATTATGTACTCACTTATAATGTAGTCAGAGAAAAAGATAATTTAATTAGTGTTAGTGATAAACCACGTTGATGATCGTGCAGTAAAACAAATTTATTTGATATCAATGAATAACGAAATAAAATTAGCGAATACCATATGTCGCTCCGTGGAGTTCGGTCTTCGCATGATCGGTGTATGGCCGGATACATCGTGTGCAATTTTCCGCAGAGTATGTTGCATATCTTCGATGGCAATATTTCAGACCTTTCAATATTGGTACTTGATCATGCATTTCGGCAAAAGCAATATTTTCCTTCTCATGGACGTGATAAGCGCAACTCTGACTTATAGTCTTCTGCTTGTCAAACTGATTATTATCATATTCAACGTTCGGTAAGGTTCTTCATTACGATATACGTTGAGTATAAAATCAAGTACGGCCACACACAATAAGCATTTAGATTCTAGATCTCAAGCTACTTTTTCGCAAGAAGAAAAAATGTTTGATTTTTAATCTGTTTAAATTTTGCAAATTTGGATTGAATATATTTCTGGAGTAATATTTCGCATATAGCTGCGATCTCAATATTTTTTTGAATAATTCATTATAGTCTGCTGGATGATATCATAGCACACGTCGTCGAGGATTGGAAAAAGCGCGATGTTTCTGACGAGTACACGATGAATAGAATGGCTTATATCTCTCGCTGGTTTTCCAATTTGATAATCTGTTCGCATGCAGTATCGGTATTCTTCTATGCGATCGGTACTTTGTTGGCGCACAAAAATAGCAATCAAACTGATGCTCGAGAGCTCATTCTCAAGATGGAGTTACCTTTCGAGATCGAAACCACATCAGTATATCTTACCGTTCTCATTACACAGTTCGTTCATCAGGTAAGCGCTGCCAGTATGTTGGCTGTGCTAAATTGCTTGCTGTTAACATTGGTAAGTTTGAATACCTTTTCATGATTTTTTTAGAATTATAAAGAAAAATAACGCTAAGAAGATAATTTAAGGACTTAAGTAATCCTGAAAGTATGTTATTAAACAGATTTATTATTTTATAAAATACATTATTAAATGAAGAATACATTTGAATTTTGTTTAAAAAATAAATAATTATGTAAAATGGTTAATAAATACAGTATTTGTTCCATTTCCTAAGTTATTAAAAATATGTAATAGATATATTAAGGAAGAAAAAATAAAAACGCAATAATTATTAATTAATATATTAAAATTTTATTATTTAACTTTTTTATACATAGAAACTTAAATGTTTCTAAATAACAAGAATTAAAAATTAAATTTACTCAGCATTGAATATAGAACAAAAAATAAAAGTGTTTTCATTGTACATACCTGATGTTAAATTGAATTTAATTGTAACATTTAGGTTCTTCATGCTTGTGGACAGATTGATATATTGCGGCAGAAACTGAGTGAAATCACACGGAAGAACACCAAGCAACATATGAATGATATCGCAAAAATACTGATTATTCGACATCAAAAAATTATTTCCTTCTCCAAAAATATTGAGACTCTCTTCTCAAACATAGCGCTAATACAATTCGTGTCAATTACTTTAGTCCTCTGTTCCCTAGGATTTGTCATCGTGACCGTAAGTATATGCGAAATAACATAATTTGTTCAAAAAAACATAAGTTATTTAAAATTTTTAGTCTATTGGTGTTCCGGGCGGATCGCCTATGCTAGTAAAATCCGTGTTCTTTTACATTCTAGTCAATATGGAGGCATTTATAGTTTGCTTTCTTGGAGAATATCTCAGTACAAAAGTCAGTAAATATGACATGTGTGTAGGGTATATGACATGTTTTACAACGAAACTTATTTTAGAGCAAAATGATTGGCGACGCTGCGTATGAAGCGCTTTGGTACGAATTGAATCCAATTCAGCATCGAGATATTCTCTTTATAATTGTAAGATCACAGAAGTATTTGACGCTCACGATCGGCAAGGTCGCTGAACTTTCACTAAAGCAATTTACTAACGTAAGGATTCAGTAAAGTAATAAAAGTAGTTGAGTAGAGGCATATTCGTGGCATAGAATTTTACATTGATTGATGTTTTGACATGTTCGAGTGACGATCTCTAGTCACTTCATCACGGCATAAGTATTCGCGTACGATGGCCGTAATTGCTTTTATCATGTTGTAGATCATGAAAGCCTCGGCATCGTATATGTCGGTGTTACACGCGATATATTGAAGCCTAAACATACTTTATGCTCCGCTTATATCTTCGCGTGCAGAAGGATATAGTACTTTTACTACCGTCAGCTGGTTATGTGATTAGCAATTTTCCTATTCAGAGACTCGATGGGGTTTCACATCAGATGTATATAAGAGTAGACGAGTAGATGCATGAGTATTGGCTTGCATATTAAAGTATTGTATTGGTTTGTGATGAACAATGTGAAGTGGATCTTCTTGGTCGATGTACTTTTTCAAAACTAATAACAACAAAATAAAAGCATTTAGTCGAATATTTAATTTAATTTAATATTTAGCACTACTTTACATTATAAAGTTAAAAATTAAACTTGGAAGAATCTGTGTGCGATGTTGTGTGTGTATGTATGCGCGTATGTTTAAAATAATTGAATATTTTATACATATATATATTTAAATTTTATACATATGCATAAATGTGTATATCCAAGATATAATTTATAAGAAAAAACTTTTATATTTTATTTCTTTTATTTTATATATACATATAATATATTACACAATCAATTAATTAATCGCAAAACAAAATAATGACTGGTTTACTATCAAAAAAATAATATTAATACCTATATTAATCGCAATTTTATTATATCATCTATATATAATTTATTATAAAATAAGTATAAAATTATTTTATTTTAAGTAGGATTTTTCAACTTCTTTCAGCAAAAAGAAAACTCACTTAAAATCATCCTTCATGATAGATGTAGTGTTCACATTTCGATTGTACTGAATTATAACGTTGAGCTACATGAGACTGAAATTTGTTAATGTCGATTGATACGTTGAAAAACGTTTGTCTTGCATTTTTAATGCAAATAACGGACAGCGATCGATCGATGTGTACACGAGGGTGTATAGAAGTTCTTTATGGCTATCTTTTTGCCTGTTCTTTTTTTCTTACAACTGCGATAATCATCGAAATGTCGGATTATTTACTCACAATTTCTAAGATAAGAAGATACGGAAAAATACGATGGAAACGCAAGATAAGTATATTTTTTATTGATTTATAACTGGAGGGGAGAGGTTTACTTGAGTAATGAATTTTACAGTTTTACTGAGGCCTTTTGATCGACCACATCATGACTGTTAACTGTAACTAAGCTGAAATAAAAATTGATCTGCATGCTGCAGTTAGAAATTTTAGAGTTCATGTTCTAACCGATGACATTATAAAATATAACGTCGTGTTAGAATTTTGATGCTACTTAAGCTGTGTGCGCTTATCATTTATTTTAAATAATCCGTTAAACAAATGTATGTATTTTCTCTGATTATAATCTTACTATGAGGTAGACGGAGAAGAAAACTATTAACTTAAAATATTAGTGTTATATCACGTTGGTGCTATCGAGCTGTGAGACTAATTTGCTCGGGGTCAATGAATAACGGTATAGAATCGGAGAATATAGTGTGCTATCCTATCAAGTTCGGACTTCGCCTAATCGGCGTATGGCCGGATACGTCATATGCAATCTTGCGCAGAGTGTTGTGCATATCTTCAATGGCGGTGTTTCAGATTTTTCAATATTGGTACGTGATCTTACGTTTCGGAGAGGAGGATCTCTTACTCCTTATGGACGTATTAAGTGCAACTATGGCTTACAGTCTTCTGCTAATCAAATTGATTATTTTTGCATTCAATGCTCGGTAAGCTTCTTCGTCGCGATACTGATAAGAGAAGTTTCAAAACTGTCCGGAACCGATTTGATTCTTTAAGAAATATGTTGTTAAACACGAAAATTTAAGAGACACGTATTTTTTTATACGTATCCTAACTCATGTTTATGAAACACCCCTTAAACGTGAGTTAGGACACGTATAAAAAAATACGTGTCTCTTAGATTTTCGTGTTTAACAACATATTTCATGGAGAATTAAATCGGTTCCGGACAGTTGTGAAATTTCCCTTGTGAGTTATAAATATAATTCGCAAAATAAATATATCTTGGATTATACTCTTTAGATTCCAGGTTGTAAGTCGAAAGAAATAACCTTGAATTTATATCACTTTTGCTATTAATTTATAATCATCTGACATCTCACGAAATAAAGAAATCTTCGCGTTTTGGTGCGACTTGGTCAATATTATATTTCTTTATAGTTTTTTCATTATAGTCTGCTGAACGAAATCATAGCACACACAGTTGCTGACTGGAAGGAGCGCGATGTTTACGACGAATACACAATGACTAGGATGGCGTACATCTCTCGTCGGTTCTCCAACTTCATAATTGCTTTGTACGCGCTTTCGGTGTTCCTTTATGCAACCGGTACTTTGTTGAGGTTTAAAAGTAATAATCAGACTGACACTCGAGAACTTCTCCTTAAAATGGAATTACCTTTTGAGATCAAAAGCACATCGGTGCATGTAGCTATCTTTGTTACACAATTTGTTCATCAAACAAGCGCAGCCAGTATGGTGGGCGTGATGAATTCTTTGCTAATAACATTAGTAAGTTTAAATTTTTTCTATAATTTGTCGGTGTTTCTGAAAGTTGTGAAAAAGAATAAATGAAAAGAATAATATAACATGTAGAGAAGAGGAATTTTCAAAATTTAATCTATTTAAAATATAGTAAATATAACAAATATATAAATATCTTAATAATAGTTTTTTCGTTTTATATTAAAAAAATTGTGTTACTGAAGCAATGAAAACACGCTTTGACTGGGCGAAACATTAAATTGAACTGGGTGCATATTGTGACGTTTAGGTTCTTCATGTGTGCGGACAAATTGACATTTTGCGGCAAAAATTGTGTGAAATCACGCAAAAGGACATTAAGCGAGGCGTAAACGACAGGATTATGAAAATGTTGATTATTCGGCATCAAAAGATTATTTCTTTTTCCAAGAATATCGAAGACTTTTTCTCAAATATCGCGCTAATACAATTCGTATCAAATACTATGGTTATATGTTCTCTAGGATTTCTTATTGTGATTGTAAGTACATAAAATACGTACGTAACATAATAACTTATAACTTATAACTGAAATATATGATATTTAAAATTTTTAGTCTATGGGTGTCCCGGGTGGAATGCCCATGCTAATAAAGTCCGTGTTTTTTTACATTGTTATAAACATGGAAGCATTCATATTTTGTTTTGTCGGAGAGCATCTCAGTACAAAAGTCAGTATTTCATGTAAAGCGAAGTGGATACAATACACTACTAAGATCTTATTATATATTTCAGAGCCAAAAGATCGGTGATGCTGCATATGAATTGTTTTGGTATGAACTGAATCCAAATCAAAATCGAGATATTCTGATTTTGATTATAAGATCGCAGAAACACTTGACGCTCACGATCGGAAAAGTGATGGATCTTTCTCTCAAGCAGTTCGCTAGCGTAAGAAATTAGTAATATAATAGAAGTGATTAAGAAAAGCTATATTTATAAGTAAACTGTTAATGTGTGTAAACTGTGATGTGTTTTGATATCCTAACAATATTCTTTAGTCGCTTCGTCGTTTTTACGACGTTTGCAATGGCAGTAATTGCTCCTATCATTTTACAGATAGTGAAAGCTTCGGCGTCGTACGTGTCGGTATTATACGCGATGTATTGAAGCTTCAATACACTGCATGTCGCTTATATCTTCGTGAGCAAAAGGATATGGTACTTTTACTACCATCAGTTTACACGGTTAACAATTTTCCTATTCAAAGAGGCGGAGTTTAACATCAAGTGTGCGCGTGTAGACAAGCGAAGTTACTGAAGCATCGATTTCCCGAGGCATCCATTCGCGATGGCTTTATTTAGCCTGCAGTACATAAAGGCAGAGCTATAAATACATTGTTGGTATTTTAGATCGATGTACTTTACCAAATCTGATAATAAAGTGATGACCAAAATAAACGCGTTTAATTAAAAACGATTAATTTAATCAATTACTAGCATTTTCATATTAAGAATTGAAATTTGATTTGAAAAATACTTAATATACTAAACGAAACTATAAAAAATTAAACTTATTTATAGTTTCAAAGGTGTAGTGTAGGAATAATATATACGATAATAATATATTATTATGAAGTACTCACCTTGGTTGTAAGAAAAAATCTCCCGGTGAACAGTGAATCTTTCTTTGTATCGTCGTTCTGTATAAACCGCTATGCTCCTGCTTGCACCGCCGTTGTCCAACTACTCGAGCGGCGAGCCCTCTTGCAAGCTACCTATAGCGCCAAATGTAATCTTTACACTGGTCTTCCTATCGCTACGATACGTCTTAGCTTTCCTCCCTCTCGATTCCCCACGTTACGTTTTTCCCCCAGCAGCAAAACACTTCATCCTTGCTGCAAGCAGTTCGTCGAAACTGCGCTCCATCTTTTCTTTGCCTATTGCATTTTTAAAAAGATAATATATAGTTACACTATAATCAAAAGTTCGGAAAGAAAGGGACTGCCTCTATTATCCATATTTCTAAAATTATAGTTGCAGTCGCTCCATTATTTTCAAAATTACAGTTGCCAGTTATTTCTTTTTTTTTTGCACAATGTAACAGAAATATTTAACAAGTTTTGATTGGCTAATGGTCGATGACACGGGTCGTGTTCGGCTGTCTACCCGTGATCAAGTTTTAGCATAAATAAAGTTATTCTACAACGCGATATTCTGTAATACGAATGATCTGTTCCTCATTGTCCATGAGAAATATGAGAATGGCCACGCTCAGTCGATTGGTCAAGTTTGGCCTTCACATTTATGGTATATGGCCATATGTACCGTCTACTGTGATGTTTAGATCGTACTGGATCATAATGCTAAGCATGGCCCAAGTCTTTCAATACCGATACGTTATAATGAACATTGATATGGACGATTTCTCTCAGTACATGGACGGAGTGAGCAGCGCAATGGTATCTACCCTATTTTACTTTAAGCTCGTTATTCTTTGGACCCATCAAAGTTAGGACGTATTTATGAAAAAATACGCAAATCGTATTACATGTACACCTTATTGGCATTTGCCAAAACTATCGGTAAAAAAATATCGAATAACAATTAATTTCTAATATTATTCAATCGATTTGATTAAGATTTGAGTATATATACGCACTAGTGCGTATAATATATTATGAGTTGCCTATTCTTTCTGATACTTTAATAAAATATTAGCACCAAATTTGAAATTGATCAAAATCGAATAAAATAAAAAGATATTAACGCGAATGGTGCACCTGATCTTCCGTAGAATATTTTTCGATATATTGCAAATGTCTACGGACTGGCAAGACTACACTTCAAACCGCTATAGCTCACGCATAATGACAGATACGGCGAATGTTGCACATCGCACCTCGAGATGGATCGTCGGCACGCAAGTGGTCGCTGTATTTTTATACAGTGCCGGTGTATTCGCCGCTAATGCAAACGGTCCTGAAAGTTTACAGCCGTACGCGCGAGAGTTTATTCTAAAGATGGAGCTGCCGTTCAATATTAGCACAAATTTTATTTACATGACAGTTCAAACTGTTCAAATTTATCATCTGCTTTTACTACATAATCTCTCTGGTACGATTTTCCAGCCAAAGAATTCGAACTATACTGTTCCTTATTCTGAGATCACAAAAAAGATTGACGATCACGAGTGGAAAAATCGTCGACCTTTCCTTGGAGCGATTTACCAGTGTAAGATTTAACTTGCGATAACTTTTTTGCATTTATCTTTCTTATAATGCGAAACTCGAATTCTCCTACAGACTTTACTATAGAGGAGAGTTGCTGAATGCGTACTGGTCGCCTAAATTGTACCTTATCAATATTTTATATTATTAGTTAATATAGGTAATATTTAGTAACAATAATATAAAATATATGAGAAATGAGTAATATAGACAAAAATATAATAACCTACATCTTGTTTTATGGATGTTAGCAGCGTTTTAAAAAATCAGGTACATCTGATATTAATTTTTAATCAACTTATGTAGCTGATAACAACGCGATCATCCAATTTTATTATAAATTTTTGTATTTTTATAAAAAAAGATTTATTGTAGAGTATTTTACATTCACTGTATATACATATTTGCAACCATTGTAAAGATTAAATCGATAT